TCCCCCCCCCCCCCCCTCCAATGTTCGCCATGCAGTGTAAGAATCTTGTTGAAAATATTCTCTCCTACAGGGAACATTTGCTAAGAACATTATTTTGCATGCATCATTTTGCTCAATTACAGGTTTGGGCTGTACCAATATATGAACCAGCTTTGTGATTACGTAAATGTATTACTGCAAAGCTTTCGATCCATTATAAGCCCGGATCTTCATGAGTCCTAACAATAACATATTATTAGCACTAATGAAGATCCGAGCTTACGGATTGAAAGCTTTGCAATAATAAATTTACGTGGTGTTTCCACAAACAAAAGTATTATATGTTTGCATGATCGCCATGCAAACCTACAAAGAACTTAAACTTTGTGATTGTTCGACAATAATAGACACAAACCTATAGAAATTGTCTTTCTATATAGAACGAGTCATAAACACTTTTATTTTACCAAACAAGAACACATTTGGTAGGTATTTACCGCAATAGACCCTTCTGGAATTAAAGTACTTAGGTTTGGCTATAGAGACTCGTTTTCGGGTTTGTGCAAGATATCGGCTTTAGAACCTTTTATCTTGTCACGGGACAAGATAAACGGCTCTTAACCCAATTACGAAAACGAGGCTCTGTAGCCAAGGCTTTCTGGAAGGGTGTATTACAGCAAGTACTGGACGTGACATTGAAGGGTAAAAACTAACAAGACAATAAAAGAAATGTTATGTTTGCAACAATATTGTCGAAGGTGGGGAAACAGGGAAACATTTGGAACATCAAGGTAGCCCCATGCCTATATGATAGTTTTACGATCGGTTGGTTATAACATTTTTACAAATTCCTTAAGAAAAGATTAGCCTCCTTCTGTGCAAACGGCGGAATAAGACGACAATTGGCACAGCACGTCAAGTCATTGATAGCTTATCTTGAAGGTATAGAGGGGAGTATCCTGTCGTCTCGTGCGAAAAAGCGCTGAAATATAAATAGAAGGCGCTAGGTCTAGGCTGGAGGTATCAAAGATGATCAGCGAAATATTGCGTAATTCCGTAGTTTACCAAGGAGTTGCAGGCACGAGCTAGAGTCTCGCTCGAATTGGCGTCACTTTGAGATCAGTTTATGACAATACACTGGATAGACCCAATTGAAAATGAAACTGATCTCATAACAGACTAATAGACGCTATCAAAAACCAATTCGAGAGACTTGGAGTCTAGGGCTAGATCAAAACATACTGTATACATGTTTTACATTCAATTCTTTTATTAGTTGGCGACAAAACATTGACAAGGAAGCAAGTGACAAACCATGTGTAACAATTGAATGCTGTAAATATCCATCTACTTCTGATGTTTCCTACAATGGTATTATTAACAAGACTTCCACGTCTGCAGGCTCAGTTCCACCATGTGAACAATACGCTGTGAGTTTTGATGATTTTAAGATAAATTAATTTAGAAGAGAACTTATTGCATATATAAATAGTTTCGGCAGAGACTCGGTAAACCGTAAAAAACTTGATGTAATCGTTCTGTGACTGCCTCGTCCCCAGGCGCCATAAAAAAGATTTCACATACGAGTCACTATATAAAAGGTTTACATGAAGTAGTGCGGCATTATAGGCGCGCAAAGGGGGATGGGATATTAGTCCATAACCCCTGCGCTACTCGTTCGTCGCGATGCACTACTTCATGTAGACCTTTTATATAGTGACTCGTATGTGAATTTTTTTTAGCGGGCCTTTATCGTCATGTTGTATTGTCTTTTGCCCAACCAACCAATAGCAATGTTTTAGGAAAGTTAGCAATCGGTGACATAAACATTTGGGTAACTTAAAATTCGCTATTTGATGGATTTGGCAAACTGAATACAATACGTATACGCACATGACGACGAAGGACCATAATTTTGCATAAACGTTGACTAAGATAGATACTGCATGTTATATTGTTATTCTAATGAGTTTCCTAACCATCATCTTTCATTTACTACGGTCCAATGGACCTATTCCCTAATGAACAAAATTTTGATCTAGACAAATCTAGACAAAATTTTCATCACTGTTTAAAAGAGCATCACAAAATTAGTAATATTCCGAAGTTTCGTTGCACAATGTTGTAAAATGCGGATTATATAGCCCTGCGAAATTTGCCATTTTTCAGTCATTTTGTATTACGCGCGGGAAATTGATACCTTTTTTCAGAAAGTGGTATCAATTTCCCGTGCGTAATACAAAATGACTGAAAAATGGCAAACTTCGCACTGTCTAGATCAAAATTTTGTTCATTAGGGAATAGGTCCATTCATGAAGCTGTACATAGTACTATACATAGTACTGTATGCTATACATAGTACTGTATTTATTAAAGAGCGAGACAGTTCTACAGCTCTAATTTGGGAATGGTATACTTCAATTGATCCGACTAGGTAAAAGTAATGTGCACGATGAGGTCTCAACATAAAGTTATAGGCACTTCCGAGTTTCTTGATGATGTGTCGAATGACTATAGGATTGAAGTCAATACTTGAGCTGTATCAAGTCTAGACTATAGTTTGCTTAAGAATCATGAACATATACCGTTTACTTTCTAGGCACATGGTCACTGCCCGAAAGGAATGCAATGTGAAATGTCACATGACATTGACATCATTCTCAATTATGAACAACAAAAGAAAGCAAAGAAGAAGCGAAAAAGAAAACAAAAATCCAAACAAAATACGTCTTCAGAAGAATGTGGCGAAGATGCTACAGGTGCAGAAAAATGCGAAACAAATGGTAGTAGTATAGACGAGGTCATCCAAGACAAAAAGCCATCAGATAAATCCGACCAAACATTGCTTACAAAAGCAAGCACTAACACGGCTTCGGGAAATCATCGCGCTGGTTTCGATGCATTCATGACAGGGTTTTCTATGGCAACTTACTATCATCGGTTCAAAACTCAGGATGCGACTACGTTTGCTGAAAGTATACCTGATTTTATAAATAAGTTAAACTTAAGCGGCAAGGATATACCGTTGAAGATTGAAAAGAGTCAGTACTGTAAGACGTCTGCCAATCATAATGAAACTTGGAAGAAAGTGATGTCAAGTACTTAGTTGCATGCAATTTTATGAACTCGTTATATAATTATATTTGCTGGTGTTAGAAGCTAAAGTTGAACTTCCCTTTAACGGAAACCGAAGGAAAAGAGCATGGTATCGAATTTATCGATATTAGACATCACATATTCCTATATTAGAATTCCACGAAAGGCGAAAGGTATGAATCATCGCCTTGAAGCGTCCAGTATGACTAGAACAGGCCAGTGTCTGTTATAACGTTCTACTACATATACATTATCAGTCTGTCAAGTTATGCAGGGTGTCCCAAGAAAATGCATGAAAATGTCTGTGTTCCAGATTTTTATGCAGCTAATTAACAGTTATTCCACGAACTCGAGTCGAATATGAGCTGATAGCCGATGAGGCACGTAACTATTTTATTATATTATACCTCAAATTCAAATTGTCCAATCAGGAAGCTTAGTTTGTGCCACGTGAGCATGAAATTAATCGCGATATCACGCCTTACGTCATCAATTAGCGAGCCTGCGTTCCTTTTGACAATGTTCCACCCCATGTTTCCCGGGGAACATGGGGTGGAACATTATTCGCGTA